GGGTCCAGGGTGCAGACACAGCAAGCACCGCAGGGCCCCGGGGCCAGCGCCCAGCGCCCGCCCCTCCCGCCGCAAGAGAGCAGACACGGGCAGCTCCCAGAATGGGTCTGCTGAAAGTGCCGGGGGCCCCCCGGCGGGGCTGACCTCCTCCGGCCTGGATGGTTCCCCCCCCACAAGCGGGCACTCTGGGAGCCGGCCACCGCCTGGGGCCGCCTCCCCCCGAGCCCAGTGCCGGGAGTCGTGGGCTCCTGCAGACTCTGATGCGGCCAGTCCCGGCAGCACCCTGTCCCCCCACCCCCACCGCCTGGGTGGGCGCTCCCTAGAGACCAGCCCTTCGCCTTATCTGCGAAGACCAGGCTCCAACCCGCTTCCCAGACCACAGCGAGCCTTTGCGGGAGGACTGGCCCTTTGATATTTAATGTGGGCAGAAAATTGTCCCCTCGCCCCAGGCCTGGGAAGCAGATGATCATCCTTGGATTTGAACTCACTGATCCTAAGAGAACAGAACGCCCCCGGAGCCTTCACAAGCAGAGGCGTCGGCTGGGAAATCTGGAACCGAAGATCGGACCAGGGCCGCGGAGGGAGGCAGGTTCTGGGGGACGGCAAAATGTTTGCTTTCTCCATTTTCCAAATCCCGTTACCCTTGGGCTCTGTCTTTGATGTTAATGTAGCTGAACCCCCAGTGAGATCCTCGGAATTTTATCAGAGGAAACAGGCGCGGAAGGCCGGGCTCCCTCCTCGCTGACCGCCCGACGGGCAGAAACGCCGGTCGGGGCGGGAGGCCGGACAGGGCTGCCCGTCTCCCGTCAGCACCAGCTCCAGAGCCGGCCGTCTGCAGAGTACCGCACGGAGGCGACGTTCATACCGGGCAGGTGAGAGGCTCTCTTTGCTCGGCAGAGGCTTGGAGGAAGGTGTAGGGTGCAGGCGGACACCACCCTGCTGTCTCTCCTGGCGCATCCTTGTCAGGGGCAAGCGGAGGTCAGGGTCAGCACACGAGGGGCATCAGGCGGCACGAGAGCCCTGAGATAGGGCCCCCCACACCCACACTGGACAGCCAAGGGTCACCACTCGGGGTCCGGCCGAGTGCCTGGGTCGAGGCAAAGCACCGCCCTGTGAGCCCTCACTGCCCCCGGGGACATCTTGGCACCTTGGCTTGTTTGTTGCTGTTAAAATACGCCACAGACCGGTGGTGCAATGTAGCTGTTTGCACTTCAGCCTGGAACCGGGGATCCCAGGCCAGGGCCCAGCGCGCAGGCCTGGCGGGGACCTGGCCTCTCTCCATGTCCTGGTCGGGGCCAGAGTGTTCTGGCGCCTCGTGCTATAAAGACACCAGTGCCCTCTTGGGGCACCTTCTTGGGCACCACCTTCAAGTACCAGCCCACTGAGGGTCGGGGAGGCAGCTGGGGAGGCCTGGCGAGCACCCGGCCCGGAGCGAGCCCACTGGAGTGTTCTCGAGATAAGTGAGCTCAGGACGCTCCTCTATGGTGATGCCTCATAGGAACAAGAGACACAGCTTCACCCCTAAGTCTACGTTGAGGCCAATGTCTCCCGGCGAGGAGACCCTGATCGGTTAAGGAGAGCAGCTGTGGGCACAGCTGCCGGGCAGAAGCCACCGTGTTTCATTCCCTGGAAGGCGCTTCTTAGCTTACCTCATGTTTCATCAAAGTCAAACATCCATTGATTTAAGCCAAGATTTCCGAAGAGCCCCGCCGGAAGCGTTGACACAAGCCCAGCGCCCTCCCAGGACAAGCAGTTGACCTTTGCTGCTCTGGCCTCACCCGAGGGTGCTCTCATGACCAGTGTTAAATGGTTAAATTGTTCTCAGACCCGAGAGCACAAAAGAAAAAAATAAGCTTAGATCTAATTTTATCTTCGAGACTTCCATTCACAGACAGTTTATCTGAAGATGACCAAGCTAAGCAAGAGCTCGCTGACCTTGAGACGCAAGGACCGAGACGGGGTGGGCCGAAGCTGAGGCCCACAGCGGGAGTGCAACGGTCAGCTACCTGGAGCACAGCCTGCACACGCGTACCGACGGGGCCCCACAGTCCCCACGGGGCCCCGCTGACTCACCCTGTAGGGGCCCACAGTCCTCGTGGGGACCCCAGTAACTCGCCTATGACCCTCACCGAGTGCACATTTAACTCCCCACGCCTTACTCGAGACAATTTAACTCCTATTTTCAACCCTCGTCCCCGAAACCTGTATAGCCACATTCTCTTTCTTAACTTGGGGGGCAGATTTGAGTTTCTCTCGTCTCCTTGCCAATTTTTCTGCAGTAAAGTTTCTTTGCTTTCTGAAGCGCTGGTGCCATGGTGTGCTGGCCTCTGGGCACGTCGGGCAGGGCCTCTGGACACTTGAGGCTTGAGCTCTGAAGACGGTCCCGCCTCCCTCCCTGAGCGAGGCCACCGGCCGTGAGCATCTCCCGCTGCCAGCTTTCCTAGCCGCCCGAACCCCAGGCCTCGGAGCAGAGCGGGCGTGCGTCCCGGAACAGGGTCCCCAGCCAGATTCACGACTGGCCGTGGAGGAGAGCTGATGCCGACTTGCAAGGACTGAGTTTAAAGCAGCAGCCGGAAGGCCAGGCACATACCTGTCTATTAGCAAACCAGACAGACATTAATCTCGACGCGGCTCTGCTATGCCGGCACCAGCCAGGACGTCTGCCGGGGCTCACTGCCCCCCAGACTAGCCCCTGCGCCCCAAGAATCTGTTTTCTGTGAGCTGTCCCCTGCATTCGAAGCCCCCGTGGCTCCTGCCTCGCTTGGCCCTGGACGTGGGGGGGGGAGGCCCGGTTCCTCTGCGCCCCCTGCTCCCACACGTCCTCACTTGCCCGGCCCCACTCTGAAACGGGGCCCCACAGAGGCGCCCTCCTGGTCCATCCAGACCAGCCAATCACGGGCTCACGCGTTCCGATATCATGCTCTGAGCCACCCAGTGACCATCAGCGGGTGCTGACCCGGCCTTTTCCGCAGACTCCGTGGGCGGGCCCAGGAGAGAACAAGTCTGTTGTGAACACTCTACCCTTAGAGCGCAACGCTGACCTAAGCTGTTCCGGCTGAAAACCTGAGCTTGAGGAATGCTGTGGGGCTGTCTCTGCCTCCCCTCCTCTCCCTCCATGTGGGCCAGCGTAGGAATGCCCCGTGTCTGGGTAAGTGATTTACCTACAAACAAATAAACTACTGTTGATGCGTTCTAGTGCGGTCAGTCTGTGCTCCAATGGTCTGCTGGGTCTTTCCTGCAGCAAAGAGCGGTCACTGCTCCCTTGTGGTCCACGGGTTGACCCTTTCGCCAGAGGTTAAAGCGCAGCCCTGACTGAGGAGAGGGAAAAGCAGCCATCCCACCGCCAACACGCCAGCTCCGACCGCAGACCTAAATCCCTTTCATTTTCGCTACCTAAATTCATGTTAGAGGGGGCACGGCCTACCACACGCTGCAGAACGACAACAGGTGCCCGGGTCCGTCCGTCGCCCAAACGCCGGAAGCCTGAGACGGTGCGGAGATTCCACACAGCCTGCGCCTGGCAGGACCACGTCGCCAGGTGTAGCGACCATGCGAACACCTGCACAGGCAGCGAGAACCGGGGGACATTTCCACCCGCACCCGGATGCCAGGTGTCCTGGGCGCACCGCCGGCGGATGTGGCCAGTGACATCTGGGGTGCATTCACGTGAAAGACGTAAGACATGCATCACCCCCACTGGCAGCCCCCCATTGTAGTTCTCCCCGCCCCCGCAGACCCTGAAGTTGGGCTTGATGACCGTGCCGAAGAGGTGCAGCAACCCAGGACCCGAAGGGGCCTGACGCCCCAGTTCTCTTCCTCTGAACCCACAAACTGCACCTCTGTGTCCCGCCAGATGAACTTGTCAGATCTCCCCACCTGCCACCAAGAAGCTTACGAGGCCTCGAAAGAGAAGCAACGAAGACCATTCAAGATTCAAAATCAGCAAATAAAGGTGTAGCGTGACCCTGTCCTGAGTGGAATACTTGTATTTCAGCTCTCATGCCTGGCCCTTTCCATCGTCCACGTTAACATCCACGACGACTCATCAACGTAACATCAAGGACGGTACGGCTCAGCCAAGTGCAACGGATTTGGAGTTGATCGTAAAGCAACACTAAGAACAGCTGGACACATCTTCTGTCATACCTAACTGACCAGGATGAGCTCGGAAGACCAAAGGTTTCACCTGTGGCTGGAGCATTCAAAGGGGCCTGTACCGTCACCTCTACCATCCTGTAAACCAGTAAACTGCACAAAACATTGTTTTTGTCACCGTGAGAGTTTAGTTCCAATTTCTTTTCGGTATACACTCACCAAATTTTGGTGATATTCGAGAATTCCGCTGAAATGTCTGTATGCTCACTTGCACGCACATATACAGACTTGTGAAGAAACGCGATTATTTGTCACCCACAGTCCCTCCTTCGTGGCCAGCAGGCCCTTCCGCAGCTGCCGACACCCTTGCCGGACGCGTGGGGACAGGGCGTCTGGTCCTGCGCCCCCTGGCCCGCCTGCAGGCGCACACGCAACTTAAAAACTTCAAGACAAGAACAACCACGGCTTTCTGTAAGCTCAACCTCACGCGTGCCCTTTCCAGATACAAAAGCAAACCGAGTGTCATTTACCTGCAGATGTATCCCTGCCAGAGCTGAACAGCTCTCTGGAAGAGAACCCCGAGGACAGAGCCAGACACCAAATGGCTCCTGAGATGTTTGCAAAGGGCAAAGCAGCACAAAGCCAGGCCGCCTGCTTTCCGACCTCAGTGTCAGGGGACCGGCCTGCGCGTGTTGCAGAGGGTCCAGAACCCCTCTCAAACCTGGGGGCAGAGACACCCGCAAGGGCTCAGGGAGGAACACGGCTCGCGCTCTTGCGCGCCGCCCGGTCCAGCGCCAGCGGTCACCCCGAGCATCTGCTCCAGGCGCGCGCACCGCGCTCCCGCGGGGTAGAGTCGAGTCCACCGCCCGGGCCGCCCTGGGAGGGGCCGCGCCCGCCGCACCTACCTGAGATGAGTGAGACAGTGTCTTTCTCCCACGAGACCACGGCGATGTAGGCCTCCACCGAGGCGGGGATAATGCACTTGAAGACCGCGACATGGCCTCTCATGGTTTTCTGGTCCTCCACACGGACTGTGTAGGGCTCCCGCAAAACTGCAAGGCGAGAGCGCGCAGTGAGACGCCGCCGCGCCCGCAGGCAGCCCCCCGCCGCGCGGAGCAGCCGCGTCAGGTGCGCCAGGTGCGCCAGGTGCGTTTACTGGGAGAAACGTCAGAACCCGAAGCTCGCTCTGAAGACCGTTGCGCGGAACGGGGGCGCGCTGCCCCGGGATCATAGCGCAGCTGTCGGTGAGGTCGCCCCCATGCAGCTGCAGGTGGGAAGGTGTGGGAACCCCGCGTCCTGGGAGACCTGAGACTCACTCTTGCCACGTTTATGTCTACACGCATGCCCAGTGCATCAGGGATTAAAATGGCTCTTCCAAAGTCTGTCTTGTCCTATCAGCTACAAAGCAGTTTAGTGAAAACCGCTCTACCCCCAGGGTTAAGGAGGCTCCCCAGTCGGGGTGACCCCATCACCTTCAGAGGGGGTGCTCTGAGCTATGGCCCGGTGCCCACCCTGGAAACCCAGCGGCCTGGGTCCAGCCCTCAGGAAGCAGCCCTCTCCTGTCCGCCACAGGGGCGTGGTGCACACAGGTGCTCAGTCGGCTCATGTGAGGCCAGCCTGGCACACCCCCAGCAGGGCCTGCGGCCAGGGGCCGTCCATGGGGCGCACCCAGGCGTGTGGCCCCAGCTGCGTCCCGTCTCGTAAGTCCAGGTGAACGCTGCTTCTCCAGGGCTTTGTCCCCCGCAAATTGCAGAGCAGAGTTCTGAATCTGCGAGTCTGGTTCTCCAAACCACCCAGACACCATGTCCTCTTGCTGTCTCGTCAGCCAGTTTTAGTCACTCACTGGACAAACATGGATCCCCAAAATGGTCATAAAATTAATTTCAAAAGAAGTTAACAAACGGAGCGAGACAGGAGTGTACCCCAAAGGGAGCTCTCTTAGCGGGCCCAGGGGTGCCCCGCCTAAGAGGGCGCCGACTCGGAGTGGCAGTCGGGGAGCTGATTCCCCCAGCGGGCCTGCGGGGCCAGGGGCCGGGCGGAGGCCAGCAGACTCGGGCCGCAAAGGCGGGGTCCCGCCTGAAGGCGCTCGGAAGGACAGACGCTGAAGGTCCCCGGCAGGGCCCAGGCCGGAGGGTCACGGCAGCTGGCGAGGCCCAGGCCGGAGGGAGCCTTGGCCGCCGCCTGCACCGGCTGGCGGAATCCAGTTTCCCATCGTGCCAGGCTGTAAACCCTGTGGCCAGTTCGCTCTTCCTCCATCTGGAAACATGGAGGCCCTGCGGCGGTGCCTGTCCCCTCGGCTCCCCGGAGCCAGAGTCCTTCCCGTTCGTGAAAACCTTGCTTTTCCGTTTTGGTGGTGATGATGTTTCGCAGGGGAGTTAAGTGGGGGCCCCGCTTCCTCGTCTTGGCCCTGAGCAGAGGCCGGGGTGACAGTGGCCACTCACCGCGGTCTTTCTCGCCCGCGGCTGCACGCACTGACCTCTTGCTGCGCAGGGGCCGGCGCGGGCGGGCCTGGGTGTCTGTGGCGGCCGTGTGGCCTCGTCCGTGAGCGGCGAGTGAGGGAGAACCAGCGAGCGCGGAACCGGGTCCCCGAGGGAGGCCGAGTGGGTAAATCTCCCCTCTCCTGCAGACACCGAGGCCTCCTCAAAGCCCCCAGGAACTACCAAGAAGGGGCATCCGGCTGTCAGGAGGTGCTTCACCGTTACCCCCGGAAGCCCCAGCTCCAGCCGCAGGGCCGCTTAGGCCCGAGGCGGTCCCGGCACGCAGGGAGGGCCACGCGAGACGCCCGCGTCCGGCTCAGGCCGGCTCCCTCCGTCCTGCCACGAGCGTCCCCGCCCGCCCTGCTGGCAACAGTCCCGCACCCGCACAGGAGGGTGAGTGTGCTTCTGAGTGCCCGGGCCACGACCTGACGGAGTAGTCCAGCCATCGTGTGTTCTCGCACGAAGCCAATGAGCCGTGGAAAGAATCTCAGGAGGAAGAAGAGCCTCTCAGAGGCCCAAGCTGACGACCAAGCCTGTAAACGCTAGGCCCAGACTGAGTCGGTACGGCTGGGGCCCACAGCATCGCCCACATGGGGGGGTGCCACGGCCGCCAGGCCACCCTGCTATCCCACGCCCACAGCCCACGTGGCTGCCAAACCCACCCCCCCTGCCGCCCACTTAGGAGACGGCATCTCCCAGGGAGCAGGTGCTGCGTTTTCCTGACAGGAAGCGGCAGCGGAAAGAGCAGGTTAGTGCCGAGAAGCTGCTGGGCGCCAGGCTGTTCTGTGCGTGGCACTTTGTGCCGCGACAACACGGCCCTGGCACTTTCAGCCTGCAAAGTGCGACTTTCATGAGGCCCTGTGGGGCAGGTCTCGGGGTCCTTCCACCAATCCCTCCGCTCGACTTCAATCATCGGGGCTCTGGAGTGCTCGTCTCGCTCCGTTCAGAGGCAAATCTCTCCCTTCCTTGAAGTGCCGTTTTCGTGCAGAGCTCGGAACCCGCGCACATCACGGAGACCCAGATACGGCTGGGGAAATGACGGGCTGGCAGGATGAATCAGCCCCGTTTGATTGCTGCCATCAAAGAGATCACAGGCGGGAGCCGGGAACGCTGCGCGCTTGGCTCGCGGCGACGCCCCCGAGCCGCGCCGTCTCGCTCAGGCAGAGAGGCTGCAGAGCGGGTGGGCGGCCGGCTTCCCGGGCCTCTGGCCTGCCCTGGCCCGGTGTCCGGGCCCAGGCGCGTTGGAAAGACGGGACACGGCAGCCCGCGTCGCTGAGCGGAGCCTGGCGGTGCATCTGTTTTCAGGGCTTCGTGAAGTCTGTGCTGGACAGACTGACTTTTCGTGTCTGTGAATCTCCAGCTGTGCCCGGGTGGACGTCCAGCAAGAGCAATCCAAATGCGCACGCGGTGTGTCGGGAAGGACAGGCAGGGTGCACAGACGGCGCGGCCGAGCCGGACTGGCCACGGCCCAGAGTGCCCGGGGCCTCCTCAGGAGCCAGGAGGCGAGAAAGGCCGCCGATTCTGTTCACTGAGCACCCGTCCACGTGACGCTTTTAGTCCAGCCCACGGTCCACACCCTGTGCTTCCCACTGGCCCACGCGGGCCTCGGACAGGTGCGGGGAGGGGCGGGGCGGGCAGGGGCACTGCAAGCTGAGTCAGTCTCCATCAGTCAAAGGCCCCATGCCTGGGGCACAGCAGCCACCCTGGACGCCCCCACCTGCCGGTCCGTTCCCACCCGTGAGGCCCCGGGAAGCCCCGTGGGTCCAGGCAAGCTCTGCCCAGGGCTCAGGCCCAGGGCCGCCCCTGGGCGCCCGCCCGCCCCTCCCCCTCCCCAGGGCAGGGCCGGGAGCCGGAGCCCCGAGCGGTACTCACCAGCCTTGATGTGGACATCCTGACTTCTAATTTTCCCTGAAGGATTTTCAGCTGTGCAATAGTAAGTGTTATCGTGGATTAAGGTGCTAAAGCTCGAAGGGGGAAAGGGGAAGATCTGGAGAGTGCCGTTGAGGTGGGCGTGGCGGATCCCGGGGACATCGTAGATCTCCTCGCCCGTGGCCAGGTACCATCTGAGAGACACAGGAGGGATGCCCGCCGCGGGGCAGGGCACCAGGGTCCCCGTGGTGCTGGCGAACACTACCTCTTGCAGAGATGCATTGACAAAGTAGAGGCTGGAGTGCAGGTCCTCGCTGAACACTGCGAGGAGAGAGGAGAGAGCGGTCAGCGCGCCCGGGCCCAGGTCCCCTCCGCCTGGCCGAGCTAGGCGGCCCCAGGGGCTCAGGGTGGGGCGGAGGCGGCCCGGCGGGGGCCGCGTGGCCATTGCGCCTGGTGCGCGAACCACCTCGTTACCGGATTTGACCGCCCGTCTTTCCCCAGCCCCGCTCCTCTCTGTTGGCCCTGAGGACTCAGCACCCGGCAGGCCTCGTGTGTGGGGTTCCCGGGGCGTGGGTCCGCCTCCAGCACAGGCCCGTGGGAACACGGCTCGCCCACTGGGGTGTCTGCCCGGAGCAGCATGGGACCCTCGGGCCGGGGCCCCGCTGGCAGGCGGCTGTGCGAGAACTATGTTTTTAAAGATGTGTTCATTTATACACACAGAGCTGGGGTACAGGCCAGCGGTGCAGGGGGGTGAGAGGGCTCCCCAGAGACAGAGTGGGGAGCAGGACAGGTGGATCCCCTGAAACTGAGAGGAGCAGCCGGGAGA